AGATGGAGGGGTAGGGGATTGAGACACCGGCGGCGGCGGCGGGAGCGTAGAGGAGGAATTTACTGTCGGTTGTTTCAGTATGGAAGCTGGAATAGAGGGAGTGTGTGGATGATGGTAGACTCACTCCGATGTCACCCAGACGTCTACACCGTCCACGACGAGCTCGTTTTCTTGTGCTTCTTCTCCGTGGGCGTCGGCATTGTTGTTTGCCGCGGTGGGAGTATGGTCGCTAGATCCGTTTGCTGTTGGAGTTGGGCCGCGGATCGCATTGAGGGCTGGTGTGGAGAGGAGGTCGCGTTCGAGGATGACCAGCTTGCACTGCTTGCTGTGGTAGTGAAGGACTGGAGGGCCGGAGTGGAATGACGCTGGCGTGCGCGATTGGTGGTCGGCCAGGAGAACAAATGCGGACGCCTCAGGGGCTGATCGAAGAGGCTCCATTTTTATTCAGGTCAGGGGTAGAAAGGCCTGCAGTTGTATAGTACCCTTGTTGTGTGGTTGGAGGAAATTTATCAGAAGATAAAGTTGGTCGGTGATTGTTATCTGGAGGGGCCGGGCGGGAGCTAGGGCCACGGCGGAGAGCTGCAACGAGCTCATCCCAGACACGTCAGGCTTCACACTTGAGCTTCTACAGAAAAGATAGGATAAAATCTGAGATACGGTGAGTCCGAGGAGTAATGATAGTATGAGCCTTTATCATTTATGAAATATCATGAATATCATGTGAGGAGTGTATCACGTTCAAGAGATTGTATATGGAGCGCCGGATGCGCATCCAAAATGTACATCCGGCTCATTGGGACCGAATCTCAACATTCACCTACTCAAGCGCAGCTCACTCAACCCAGATGATAGGGTCGATGGCGGGCAATGAGAGTGATTGCTGCTCGAGTTCGGCTAATGGGGATTGTGGTCCTTCAAGCCTGCTTTAACATCAATTTGCAAGTGTAAGATGTTGTAACATAGCAGTATCCGCTGGATTGAATAGGCCATCTTTCGTGTGAGCCGGTTCGTGTAGCTCCAGCAGTCGATGAGCCGCTTCCGGTAGACACGGTGCACTTTGCCTGGTAAAAGGCGATGTCCGCGCTGGCGAAGTCTGAAATGCGCTCCATTGAACAGATGTGTCCTTACTAGGAATAGTGTAGGGTCAGTTTCTGATGCCATCTGTTTGGCGTAGCACCGTTGCCTATTTCACATCCAACCCTCCAAAAGCTCGATCCAACTCTTCACCCTCATCACGAGGTACCATGGCAGGGAACCCGGAGGAGCTTTGGTTGCCGGAGGAGCTGTCCAGTAAGCTATGGTTTGGCTGATTCTTTGAGGGTTGAACCGGCGCCGAATTGATAGGCTGGAGCAATTTCTCATCTCGGTCCAGCCAACCCGGAGCGACACGTCTCTTCTCCGCAAGATCTCGTTGGGATAAGGCTTCCTCCCATTTCTTGATCGCATTCTCAGCATCGACTCGCGTCTTGTTCAGATGTTCCTCCAGCGACTTGCACGAGGCCAGGATCTCTTCTGGGTGCGCCGCATGCTCGCCGCTTGGGGAGACCACATAACGGGCTTTGATGTCCGGATTACTGGGATCAACGGTAACAGATTGAGGGAGAGTCGAAGGAACTGATTTGTAGGTGTAGGGAAGAGTGACTGAGGTAGGAAGATTGATGAACGGGGAGACTGTCAAGGGGACTTGGGCGAGAAGCGGGTGAGGACCTGTTCGGGAGGACCATCAGCACTACTAATGGCTAATTCTCAAGATGACCATTGAGAGACGTACGGTATGATTCGTACATGTCTGTTGCAATTCAGTTCTCCAGGAGCGGAATGAGATGGAAACGAGGACGTGTTGGAGTCTAGAGTGCCAGAATCTGGGCGTGGGGAAGGCAAAGGAGAACGAACGGTCGGCTATCCCCGCACTTCAGGGACAAATCCAGTAGAAGTACTAGTATTTTTGCCTCAAGGAATCTTAGTCTCCTGCGTTGATGCAAACGAGGACGATGATGGATGAATGAGACATCTGGCCTTATGTATATGATTATAGCACCCGCCAATGGCAACCATTCAAGAACAATTAGAACCCGTACATCCAAGCGAAAACCAGCTTGACTTTGTATCGTCATCCGACGATGCAGGGTAGGTAAGGTAGCTTAATAGAGTCAAAGGTAGTCAGTCTAACTTATTGCCCTGACCCAGATCATACTAGAGCCTCCTCAGCCTGATCAGTGACCATAAAGATCTGCCCTCGTCTTTTGCCTGGCTCTCTCAGCCCATCGCAATAATCTTGCATTTTCTACGAACAATTACTGAATCGCTTTTCTGTCTATATCTTCGTTCTAGATTTATCTTGTCTTGTCCCTTCCTTGATCTGTTTCTTCCGCCACGCGACCCACGGTCACCTCAGCTTACACTATTTTAGGAAAAGGCAATACACTTGGCTGTATCCTAAGAGTCCTAAGGTTTCATATCCACAATCTCTCCTCATTATTATCGACTCTTTTCTTCCCGACCATTTGCCCATTCTTCTCTACAGAAAAAGTCCATCATCGACCGGACGATTGATCCCTTTGATCACCGACGTCAAGGCAGTTCCTCGATCCGGCCTTCGTCTCGTGTGTAAAATCCCGCCGCGCTTTAACCCCACCACAAACTTGCCTCCCCCCTTCCCCTTGATCCGTCCATTTGCGTACCGAAGATCTTCTGCAGACTTGCTTCTTTGAAGACGTATTATTTATTAGTCCACACTGCGCAAGATGGATCAAGCACTGGCGCGCGCGGTGAGGGACAAGAAGCCGGTCCCGGAGATCGATTTCACACTACACACCATGGAGGATGGCACTCAGGTCTCCACGCTGGAACGAGTGATTAAAGGTATGGCCTGATATTGAATCTCGGCTGCGTCTCGATTTAAATATTCGCTGTCTCTAACAATTCTGCGGATTCAGAGGTGCAAGCGCCGGCTTTAAATACTCCAACGGATGACCTGTTCTGGTCTCCTGAAGATCCTTCGAAGCCCAACCTCCAGTTTCTCAAACAACATTTCTATCGGGAAGGTCGTCTTACAGAAGAACAGGCGCTATGGATTATACATGCTGGAACTCAGATTTTGAGATCCGAACCTAATCTACTAGAGATGGATGCGCCGATCACAGTCTGTGGCGACGTTCACGGTCAATACTATGATTTGATGAAACTCTTCGAAGTCGGTGGTGATCCGTCCGAGACGAGGTATCTTTTCCTGGGTGATTATGTCGACAGAGGTTATTTCAGCATTGAGGTGAGAGACGACTACCCTGGAAACTGAGGGTCAGTGAAGCTGATATCAGCTAGTGCGTTCTATATCTCTGGGCCCTGAAGATTTGGTACCCGAACACACTTTGGCTGCTCCGAGGCAACCATGAATGCAGACATCTCACGGACTACTTCACCTTCAAGCTGGAATGCAAGCATAAATACAGCGAACGTATCTACGAGGCCTGCATTGAGTCATTCTGCTCCTTGCCTCTGGCGGCGGTTATGAACAAACAATTCCTGTGTATACATGGTGGTCTGAGTCCTGAACTCCACACCCTCGAAGATATCAAGTCGGTACGTTCAAAGCTGTTCGAAGGTTCCACGAGCCTTTTTGTTCTTTCTCTAACGTGATCATACAGATTGATCGTTTCAGAGAGCCACCGACTCACGGTTTGATGTGCGATATTCTCTGGGCTGATCCGCTTGAAGAGTTCGGACAAGAAAAGACAGGAGATTACTTTGTTCACAACAGTGTTCGAGGCTGCTCTTACTTCTTCTCGTACCCCGCCGCTTGCGCTTTCCTTGAAAAGAACAACCTGTTGTCGATCATTCGAGCACATGAGGCGCAGGACGCTGGATATCGCATGTACCGAAAGACTCGGACGACTGGATTCCCAAGTGTGATGACTATCTTCAGTGCCCCCAACTACTTGGATGTCTACAACAACAAGGCTGCCGTTTTGAAGTACGAGAACAACGTCATGAATATCCGACAGTTCAACTGCACGCCTCACCCGTACTGGTTGCCAAACTTCATGGACGTGTTTACGTGGTCGCTTCCTTTCGTTGGTGAAAAGATCACTGATATGCTCATCGCCATCCTTAATACCTGCTCTAAAGAGGAGCTGGAGGACGAGACTCCTACATCCGTGTCGCCTTCCGCTCCTTCTCCTTCGCTCCCGATGGACGTGGAGAGCAGCGAATTCAAAAGGCGGGCGATCAAGAACAAGATTCTTGCTATCGGACGTCTCTCACGTGTCTTCCAGGTGTTGCGGGAGGAGTCTGAGAGAGTCACTGAGCTCAAGACGGCCGCTGGTGGCCGTCTCCCCGCCGGTACTCTGATGCTTGGCGCTGAAGGAATCAAACAGGCCATTACAAACTTTGAGGATGCTCGTAAGGTTGACTTGCAGAACGAGCGTCTTCCGCCGTCTCATGAGGAGGTTATCAAGCGAAGCGAAGAGGAAAGACGGGCTGCCCTTGAGCGTGCGCAACAGGAGGCAGACAATGACACCGGCTTGGCTACCGTCGCCCGGAGAATTAGCATGTAAGTCAACCCTTCTCCTGGCAAGAAGTCTCATTGCCTAATTAAGCACAGGTCGGCCGGTTCTGGCAGGACTCGTCGGCAAAGAGATACCGCCCGGGAGACTCGGGAAGCCTGAGTCGGTTAGGTCTCGCCCATGTTGTACTTTTTTTATGCCGGCAGGGTATCCGTCCGTTCGTGGGGGCTCAATGCTTGCCGGTGCTTGTATCGAAGGCCCCTAGCTTTTGATCACCCGGTATCCAGTGAGTGCGCAGGAAAAAAGGGTTTCAAACTGCTCCCCTTTGCATTCAACCTGTCATGACTTCTGGTTGAATGTGATGAGCGATGACTGCAACTCTGGCGAGGGGGATATAGCTGTAATTTCTGCACAGAATTCTCGACGCGTCCGTGACGCCTCGACTACACGAGCTGATGAATTGATACACCGTGATTTTCTTTGCGCTATAATGTATATGGTAGCGGATAATGTTGGTTCTTGGGATTGTCTATACAACCAATGCTTTCCACTCTTTGGCCGGGATGGACATATCTGGTAGACCTAGAGCGATTCTGTAAACATTTATTGGCAATCTTCATTATGAGAAGCCACGAATATACCCCTGGCGACCAAAAAATCTTCTGTGGTCCTGTGGTAACACATGTTGTTCTGAGGGCGAATGCCATCCCGCCAAGACAACTCCAGGATTCCCCATTTTGCGGAACGGAATACTTGCTTCGGTCCACTCTTCCATCTCCAAATCCTCACCAGCATACCACTCGCGTTCGAGTCAATGCCTCCCAAACTCCGCAGCTCGATTCCGAAGAGCCTATCGCGGCCCTCGGACAATGGATTGATCTTCTACTGCCCCTCCTGCTCAATCTGGAGACGAAGCCTGATAACGCGTTCCCGCGG